ACTCACAGCACAGCCAGGCAACAGCAGATAGTGTGTCCTGGTCAGCTGAAAAAGGAGTTCTCCTCCTTGATCTTCCACAGACAGGATGCACCCCCTTCAAAGGCTTAAAGGGACACCAAGTGCATGACTCGAGTACATCTCTGAAGCACGGAGAGGCTGTGTAGTGCCCTGCAAGACAGGACCATGGCAGCTGTAACGCAGCGGCTCAAGTACTCGGTGGAGTTTCAATCAGCTGGAAATTAAAGCAGGAGAGAGTTGGGATATGGAGACCTCCAGCATTCAGCTCTCTGCAGCTGTGTCAGGGTCTCTTGGATATCTCCATCCAGGCTTGCTAATGCCACACATCTGCCTGGGACGGGGCTGTGCACGCATCTGTTTGCCCATTGCTAAGGCTCCCTGAAGTGCAGGAGAAAATGTTTGGGTTTGCCTTGAACTTGCAGTCACTGCAGTGGAAAGCTGCTCTGCAGAGGGGCTGCAGCCCACACTGGTGGCTTGTGAGTCCTTGGTGCCAGGAAAAGCCTTTGGGTGTGACTGAGGGAGAAGAGCACACAGGAACATTGTGACCAAATAGAATCTTGTGTTCTTAATATCACTGTCAGCTTCAAGTACCACAGGTCATAGTACACAGCCCTCAAAATGCAGATTCAAGTTGTTAAGAAAACAATGTTTAATCCTCTCATTTAACATTAGATTTCTTATTTTGTTTTTTTCATTTGCTGTTGAACTTCACCTCCAAATGTGCATGGCAACTCTCCCAGGTTTATTGAGACACTCAGTATTCACCAGTGAAAATCTACTAATCAGTTCTAATTCTAATGCCAGTTCTCCCCTTTCTCAGCTCTTCCCTGCCCACACCATGTGGATAGACTGAGCTCCTACCTCTCCTCTGCCACATCTGCCTGTTTCCATCCACCAGGCTGAACTATCTTGGCTGGGGAAGGATGTAACCACTGCTCCAGCAGCACAAAAAGAAGCTGCCAGAGATAAATGGCTTTGTGAACAGAGGCTTTGCTGATGGACTTCAGACCTTTGGAGCATCCTGGTGTCGTCAGAAGCCAAGATCACTGGTTTGTATTTCCTCCCACATCACTGGAGGATGCAGAATTTTGTATCACGAAAAACTGGCAGAATAAGGAGTCTCTGCCATGTTTTTGATTGCAGAGTAGAAACCTTCTAGTATGCTGGCAGGTGAAATATGTGAGCACAGCTCAACTCATCAAGGCAAAGCCCACAGTCTGCCCCACAAAATCCATCCAACATTTAGGTTTCATCCACCCACCATAGGAATGAGGGGCATTTGAGAAAAGACTTTGCTCCAACAGACTGAGAAATGAGTAAGTGGCTGTGGGTAGGAAATCCAGATGTTGTGGAGGATGGCACAAACCTGCAAAACCACAGGGGAGCAGAGGGGCAGTGGCTCTGCTGCCCTTGTTAGAAAAGGGTGTAGTGAAAGAGTTGCAGTGGGGGTTAGGCCCTATGTCACGTGGCAGAGATTGTATAGCCAGGAAGGGGAAGAGAAGAAATCAGTGAAATTCTGTGGATTTATGGTGAAGGGAAGGACAGGGCTGTGGAAGAAATGGACCCATATGGCAAACTGAAGTCCAGATTTCCAGCAAGGTATAGTTCAGAGCTGCTGCTCCTACTACAAGGTGCACTCACCATGGATACAGGCTGACAGTGTGCCCTTGAGTTCACGACAGCCATGCACCTTTCTCCAGAAGGGAACTTGGAAACAGCAGGATAGGCTCATCGGAGAGTTGGCTCCTTTATTCTGCATGAATGTTAAAATACCTACATTACTTTTTGCCATGAAATGGCTTTGCCCTGACTGCAGTGATGTCATGTTGCCTGCACTTTCCAGCATGCTGTGTGCTTGTAGCCAGCTCAGGCACTGCCCTTCAGCAATGCCTGTGTTTTCATACTGTATGAACCAATGGCCATATATTTATAAGGCATGCAATTCTGTCCCCTCTTTTATAACATGTTATAAAGTAGAATTTCTGTGAGTATTCCTGCTCTTTTCTTCCTGCACTTTCTTTCTCAGACCTTAGCAGTTATTTATCCTTACTTCATAACCAACTTGCAATTTTTGTAAAGTTACCAGGAATAAGTAAAAATCCCTATCCTTGACCAGAGCTGTCTGGATTCAACCCCCTTCCTTCCCACAAACAGCCATCAAGCTCATGGCTGTACTGAGGCAGTGCAACTCCCCACTGGCAGTTACTATTGACATAAAATAATTCAGTGCTGATCGCAGTACCAGCAGCCCGAGCAGCCACATCAATTGCACTGTTACAAAGCTTAAGCATGGTTGACTCAGGCATTAGGCAGAAGGCTGATAACAGCATCCCCAGTCAGCTCCAGCTTGAAAGAGCAGAACTGGATGTTTTTTCAGTAGTATAAAAATCATCACATGCCCACTGTCCTTGTTTCAAATGCCTTAATTGTAATTTAGCAGCATTCCATAGGGTGCCTCTGCAAGGTGAAAGGCAACACACAGCTGCTACATGCTAAAAAAAAAAAAGTTAACTCTGTATTAAAATCAAACAGGTCATTGGAATGCATGATGTCCATTGTCACTTCTACACTTTGTGTCCTATGAAGCTTAAGATGTATTTGGAGAAAGAGTCAGAAACAAATTTCTGAGCAGCCAACAGATTTCATCCAACAGTTGCTGCATACAGCAATCTTTTCTGACCCACTCATCTGCTGTGCCAGAGGTACCTGCCTCTCTACAAAGAGAGACTTTCCACTGCTTTAATATAACTCTTGGGAGGTTAAGATGTCAGACACTAGCTAGGCTTTGGCATCTCTGCTAACAGTGTGTCCTGCCCTGTCCTTTAATAGAAGAGTAAATCCTAGGGATTACAGGGAAATTCTACTGACATATCCAGAAAGTAAATGGAAATATTGCTGTGTCTGACCCATGTGTATCTTGAAGTGTTTCAGAAAAAAAACCAGCAGCCCGTCAAGAGCCCTGCAAACCTTCCAGCACTGAAAACCTGGCGTACCTCTTTGTCCTCTGAGAGTTCAATAAAGATATATAATAGCATAGACCACCCCAGACTGTTTCAGTCTTCCCTTTCATCTCAAAGACTGAACTCTTGTATGTTTAATTTAAAGGTATTTGTCCCATGAGCAAAATCTGCTGCCAGAAGCATTAGTGGTTTTTCAAAGGACGTTCCTTAAATATGAATGAGCTGAGCCCCTGTGATCACCCTAATTGATCCAGCAGTGCTTGCAGCTAAAAGTAAAGCTGCCACCTTTCATAGCAGTCCAGACCTTTTCCCCTGCTGCCTAATATTTCTATTCCTGACATTTTACAAAAATAGTCAGTCTTGCTCAGCCTGGGAGAATTCTATAAATTAATGACCACAGCAGTTAACTTGATTCTGTCAAAACTGTTATATAGGCTGTAAGATATTGCCCTATAGAAAGATAAGAAATTTTTATTTTAAAGATGGCCAGTGGTTTTGAATAAATAAAATGTCATTGATGCTGAAACACTTATGGGCATTATGCTATCAGGACAGGCAGCAATGCTGGAGAGATAAACCATCCAGGTTCTTTTAAACTCCTTGTCCTAGTACCTAAAAGCTGACCAAGTACGAACAGACTTTTAAAGAATTTGAAGCAAAAATACAGTCCTGAACAGTCTTAGACTTCAGTTTCACCAATAGACTCTCCATGGATAAATTATTGGAGTTTTGGGTCAAGCTGGACCCAGCAGATATCAGGGGCTAAGTTTAAAATTATTGCAAGAGCACTTTACAAAGAGGGTGCCCATATTTCCATCAACAGCTGCGTGGGTCTCCAAATATATGCAGAGTATCCCTGTGGTCATAGAATGGGTAACTTCTTTTGTCCACAATGCATGTGGTTTAAGAACATCTCTTTTTATACAACCTCTCAAAACCACGAACCTAGAATCTAAAAAACTTAGAATCTCACTGTTATCCATTGAGAAGTCATTAAGGGAGCTCTGGGAAAGGGGCTGCCAATGGGAATGGGAAAGGATCATTCATTCTTTGCACCCATCTGTGCTTTAAATATTCTAATAGGCCATGGAATGCAGTGGAAATGTTTCAAACATGTCTATATCTCTACTAGGAAGCCAAAAGGCAAAAAGCAATTTATTTCACAGAGGACACCACACAATCCAGAAAACAATTTTCTGTCATTTTAGGTCATGACTGTGCTCAAACTTGTGGTGTAGATGTCTCTCTTCCAGGTGGAGTCAGCCAATCTGATGCGGCTTTGAAAACACAAAAGCATGATCAGGAATTATATGACGGTATGAAATTTCAAGACATCTCACAGAATCACAGAATCAGGTACTGAGTTGGAAGGGACCCACAAGGATCGTTGAATCCAACTCCTGTCCCTTCTTTGGACCATTTCAAAGAGTCACAACAAGAGCCTGAGGGCATTGTCCAAACACTTCTTGAGCTCTGTGAGTCTTGCTGTTGTGACCATTTCCCTGGGGAGCCTGTTCCAGTGCCCAAACCCCCTCTGGGACAAGAACATTTTTCTAATATCCAGCTTAAATCTGCCTGACACTTCAGGCCATTCCCTTGGGTCCTGTCACTGTGGATGACCACAGAAAAGAGATCCTTCCTCTGTGCCTCCTTTGTGCATCCCATGAATTTAATAAATGATTATCTTATTGTGAGGTACTCCCAAGCCTCACATGATCAAGTCCATCCAGTGTGTGGGAATAGAGTATAATAATAGAGGAAAGAAATGCTAAAAAGCAACAAATACTAAGGTTTGCTTACTCTTGGTCTTTCTAACTTCAACAACAAAAGCAATTAAAGTGCATCAATCAGGTCTTTTTTCTGTGATAGTGATTTTCTCTAGTGTTTTTAACAGCTTGCAAATTCCTATGACTATAATCAGCCTGATCCCCCTGTGCTCCCTGTCAGATACCACAATGGCTATAATCTGGCACCTGCTTGGTACAAAGCTTGGAAGTGAGCCTGGGTGCCCACAGAATAAAAATTAAGTGTGTTCACTGCAGAGGGAGAGGATCAGAGGGAATTTAGGAACACTGGTGACAGCCTTTATTCTTCTCTCTCAGCAAGAGAGTCCTGGCTATGACAGGTCAGAAAACACTGCTATTGTTCTGCCTTAAACCTCCCATTTCCAGATGCAGAATTTCAGAAGGAGCCAGTGTGGGGATGTGCTTCTAATAATATCAGCTACCTCCATCTGTCTCTTTTGGACTGTCCAGCTCGTACCATTGTCAGACTGTTCAGAAAGCAACAAATATTTCTTGACCTGACCAGTTGGCAAATCTTCTTCCTCATGCCTGACTTAGAGATGCATCACCTAGGAAAGCAGTGGGTTTAGATAACCTATGCTTTTTCATCTTTCCAATTTCACCTTTTTTGCAGTGCAGAATCCAGTGAATCCTGTTTACCAGGACGTGTCTCAAGCAGATTTTTCTATAGAAAACCTGTCTCAGATGCTGATTATTCTCTCCAGTAAATTACTACAGTATCTCTGATAGACATCTCTGCAGCTGTATGGAAATGTCTCATTGGCTTAGTGAATTACAGGGACCTATATTGTAACTTCGTTCACATAAGAAAACATTTATTCATGGTCTGTGTTCACTTTGAAATTCCTTATTGGAATGGGAAACTGTTAAATAGCAATCCTCATTGCTGTCTGGTTAAATATAAACAGACCCATGAACTGGATTCTTGTACACAGTGTACAAGCTTTAATTACTGAAAACTGAGAGGAAAGGAAAGGCAAGTGATTTGTAACACTAAACAATCTTCATGTTTTTTCAAATGCTGTTTTTGCCACTGTGTGAAACACAGAGACACTTGAACAGTTTGGCTGCTCTGTTTTGTCTGGGAAGATCCTAGTGTGCTGTGGGCTGTCTTGCAAAGAGATAACAATAGTGATTGGGACTGACAGCTTCACAGTCAGAGATGCAATGAGAAGTCAGGAGTTACAGGCTCCCAGTGGTGGGCCTGGCTTACCTCTCTTTTCACAGAGCCCAGAATTGCCAGAATCTAAGACAAGTGAAACATCTCAGATGGGTTGCATCAAACTAAAAAAGGGAAGAAAATTACGATTTACCTGTAGGTCAGATCACACACTTGTGCTTGCTGTGGGATACTTGCTGTGTGAACTGCCACTGCTCTGCATTTCTTCCTCCTGGACTGGAGAAAGTAACTTGGTCAGAAGTAAAGGAAACCAGTGCTAGCAGGTCCAAAAGCACAGGAACTGCAAAGCAGGGGGCCTGGCAGGTCTGTAACAGCACAGGCAGAACATCTTTATCTTGGAAACACCTTTTGGTTAATGTGGGATTCCTCTCACTGCACCTAGCTACCAAAAATGAGGTGAATAGTACATGCTAGCAGGCTAGGTTCATTTTATAGTCAATGACAAGAAGGGTGTTATGCTTCCCAGATCATGGGCAACATCATTCTGAGAGATATCAGGGATGGGTACAAGTACAGCTATGCAGGTTTTGGAGGAAAGTTTTTTTTAACCTGCCTTTCTTGACAGCAGGATATTAATTTATCATTGGCCACAGTGAGAGCAGAAACAGAGTCAGTGTGTGCTCAAAGCTAACCAGTATCAACATACAGAAATTTCAGGGCTGCATGTTTCTATCTTGTTCACCTGCTGGTTGATAAAGGAAAAAATTCTTACAATTAAAAAGGATCATTATGACAAAGCTTTATCAGACAGGTAGTGAAGAGTGAACTAACATCAAATTGAGAGTCAGTACAAAGGAAAACACAGAAACTACTGAAGGCCTGTCTGTAGTAACAAACCAGAGTGGTTTGTCTGTTTCATTCTGGGAAATCATTTCTGTGACTTTTTTTTTGACAGTATCCTTTCTTTTACTCCCAAAATGAAGAAAGCTGAAGAAAGTCATAGTGAAACACTATCAAAGGTTTCTCAGATTTAATCAAATGCTATCTAGCAGGCAGTGGTATAAGTACTGAAGGAAGCAGCAGCATTGTTTAAGCTAGGCTGAACAAAGCAGTGTGTGTCCTGGGAGCGTTTCGAGCAGGGGCTTTTCCAGCTCTGCCTCCCCTGTGCAAACTGCAGCCTGCAGTTTCTCAGTGTAGGGAAAGAGAGCAGCTCCGAGGAGAGCCAGTCAATGCCAGCCCAGCTTGCAGGCTGGCCAGCAAATGGACACACACACAGGGCTGTGTCAGGATTGTGCCTGGATCTCTGGCACCCCACAGAGGCAGGCATATGGATCCGGGAAGGGAGATGCCAGTGCCTGCTCTGTGCTGGCTCAGTAGATGATTCCTTCTGGTTCCAGCAGCAAGTACTTCTTCATGGACAGAGGGATGGAGAGCAAGGGGACTTCTCGATGACACTTTTCTGACAGTATCGCCCGAATAGCACATCTGCACAAGTGCATCAGTGACCTTGGGGAATTGCTGCACACGGTGAACAAAGAGTCATAGAAATCCTGGTGCCGCTGCAAAATAACCACAAGTGAGTTTTAGGGCAACCGGAATATTTGGAGTAAGGATTTTTGAATTAAAGGGATAACTATGTCAAAGCATGTCATTTGTCCCACAGTTTTGCCTTTTGACCACGTATTTTCTTCTTTAATCTCTTACTTTTCATTTAAATTCTCCCTTGCATTTGCAGCTAACTCATCCTGTTCCCAGAAATCTGACCCATGCAACAGAACCCAGAGGTACATAGTCCTACCCATGTAATATGGCCCTTTAAAAATATTTGCTGGCTTAAAAGAAGTATAAATATCCATATTGAAAAATCTGAAGAAACACCAATCACAGCCAGAATCTTTTCACTGGCTGAGAACAGGGACAGCTGAGCTCCTGCTGTACCACTGACAGGGGGTGCACCAAAAGATAACATTGCAATTAAAATATCAAAAATATGTATTTTTTCAGTGAGTGATATGCTTTTGTCAAATGAGAGATATTAAGTGGGGAAGTCCCCATCCTCTGAGATGTTCTCTTTCAAAAGTGTTCTTTCTAATGGTTCGGTGTGGGTTATTCAAATAATAAGCCTGGATTTTACTCAGTTATAACTCATTGAGAGCTTACCTGCAAGACATCCTCAGGTATGGCTGCTTTCCACTTAGATGTCGATTTGATGTGTTCGTAGGAGTTGACGACTACCTCCACAGCTCTGGGGTGGGAATGACAGGCTTGCAGCACCTGCAGGCAGGATGCATGGAGAACATGAGGAGCGCCAGGAAGCCCTGGCGAGCCTGGGTGCTTGGCACTGCACAGCAGCAAACTGGGACAGACAGAGCCAAACAACAATGAGAGGATAAGGCTGGAGATGCAGAAGACGCAACCACTCTGTGCAAGCACGGCAAGAAGCCCCAGGCTCATCCCCAGTTTAAGACCATACAGAAGTGTTGGCTTAGATCTCCACAGCAGTCTAGGTGGGGTGGGCTTTATCACCCCCGTCTAGAGATAGCTTGTTCATAGCTGGGTTGAGTGACTCAACACCAGGCAAAGCCATGCACAAAAATTCTTCCTTCAGCACATGCAGCTCAGGAACAGAAAACAATCCCATTATATGAATCAAAAATGCAATGTTAGAGAAAAATTTAAAATGTGACGAGAACAAGAGACAGTTCAGAAGTAAGGCTTTCAAGCCGCACAAGGACCCCGACACAAATCTTCTGCTCAGTCATTTTAACTCAACAGGAAAAAAACTCAGTCTATTGTCACTCATATGCAGAGAATAACATTGCATTCACCCAATTTTTGTCTCATGCAGTCTCCAGGTTTCACAAAAAAGACTGCAGAACATCCCTCTGGGATAAATATCCTACATTTTTATAGATAGGCAAATTATGGTTTGGAAGAGTGACCCACTTCATGCACAAAGATGCAGAAAGAGGAGACTTCAGACCCTGCTCTGAAATACTCTCCAAGAGACTAAGCATTGTTCTGCTACAGGCAGAGACTGCTCATCATGGGCTCAAAAGGGCACAATTAAAATTTTGGCATATTATTCAAAGCCTTCTGGTTACTTGACTTGTTAAAACTTTACATATACAGTCAGGGAACTGCAAACTGTTGCTTAGGGTACTGGATGAGAGACAGTAAGTCCTGGCTTCAGCAAGATTACTTAGTTATCTGATATAACAACACTGTTAGCTACTTCTGTCAGTGTCTTGGGCTTTGCAGGTGTTTAAAAACTTTTCAGGAGGGATCCTGCAATACTTTTTTGGTTTTTTTTGTCATCAGCTTTGAGCCCTTAATTCTCACATTTCCTGGGAATAATCCAAAGCTTTATTGAGAAGCATTTCATTTTTAATAGATTTGAATAATTTTTAACTGTCAGATGTGACAAACAGATGTGACAAAGCGGTCTCATTCTAATCTTTGGTGAAGACCATGAAATATGCATTTTATATAACTCAGTGAAACTTGTGTGAAGCCAGGTTTGACAAAGGGATATGGGTTCTCTGAAATGAGAAAGTGAATCTGCTCTGAAAAATTAGGCTTCAACCAACATTTAGAGTTTGGCATTTCAGATTGGTTAAGAGCAAAAATTAGATCTGTGTCTCGTTTCTGGTACAGGCAACTGTAATTTCACTTCAGTTAAATGACATCACTCCTACAATAGGTCATCTCACAATGTTTTGGGCACTCTGGACCCAGACTGACAGGACTCCAGCAAATCTGGATAGTTTGGATCTCTCTTCCCATTCCTGTTCAAGACACCACCCCTCTCCATACCCCTACTGTACAAAGACATCCCTAACCTTGTGGAATTGCAGAGGGTATATCCTAGCTGCTCCATGATTCAGTAGCAGCTGGTAGCAGATGTCTGGCTGAGCAGCTGGCCGCACAGATGTCACTTTTATGATATACTGTAAGGGTGCACAGCCATTGACATCCATGATGTTTGCTTCTGCTCCTGCCTCCAGCAGCATGTGCAGCAGGACGTGGTCACAGTTCCAGGCAGCTTTGTGGAGTGGTGATTTGAAATCCTCATCACGAGCATTCACTTCAGCTTTATAGTCTAGGAGCATCCGACAGATGAGGTGGTGGTCATGGCTGTATATCTGATCCTTATAGTGAAGGGCCCAGTAGGCTGCACAGGCAAGGGGTGTCTCCATGTAGGCATTGAGAGCATCCACCTGTGCTCCCTGTTCCACGTAAAAGGCCACGAGCTCTGGGACACCCAAACGTGCGACCATGTGCAGGGGAGTCTCCTCATCTTTGTTGTTTGTTCTTATGTTCACATTTGCTCCTGCCAAAGAAAGATGATCGGAAAGATGAAGGCAATGAAACACTTGTTTCTCTCTCTGTATGGGCCCTTCTTCCCAAGGAAAAGGTCAGGGTGGGCAACTGGTATGAAAGACGTGTAAATGGAAATAGCATGGATCAATCCTGCATTGGTTGTCTCCAGGGAAACTCTTAGAAACTTAAGGTTCTTGGATCCAGCTTCTATGCTGGCCCCAAGGAAGACCTTATCTGAACAGTCTATTTCAGAGCAGCCTGCAAGTCCAAATTTCTGCCTAAAATGGTTTTTCCTATAAATTGAGGACTGGTGGAGGATGGAGATCATTACTCCTACTCCGAACAGCTCTGCTCTGTACCCTGAAAACACTCCCCGCAGCACCTCGTTAAGGCGAGCCTGGATGAAAGGACATTTTACGACAGATCCGTGGATGATATTAAAGAACCCATTGCCAGGGTCCCGGCGGGGGTCCGGATCCCGTTTCCAAAGCGCGGCGGAGCGGCTCCGGCCGCGCGGTCCGTGCGGAGCTGGAGCAAGAGCACCATCTGCCGGCACGGAGCCGGGCGGGGAGCGGGGTCACAGCCTGCCTCCGGGCTGGAAACACCAGCGATAATGCTCTTAAGCCGTGCTGAGTGTTAGTCGTGTTCGATGTCCCTGAGACGGCATCGGCAATCCAAGTTTGGAGGTGGCAACCAAACGCGGGATCAGCGCTGCTTGCGCTGTCTCCCCAGCCAGAGGGGGATAAACTGCAGTGAGCTGGAGGGATCCCAAGGGACACCACCGAGTGGGGATGGCAGGTGAAAGATGCATCTTGGAAACTTTGGGGCACGGATATTAACTGACACCCTGGCTTCGGCTCTTGGGGGTGCTGCTCTGTGAATGTGCACACCTGACAGGGTTTGCTCCAGACTTTCCCATTCTACTTGGAGTCTCAGCATTCAACTCATACGGAAATCAGAGTGCTTTGGGGGGAAGGGTGGCTTTTAAAGTACTATTATGCTGTTGATGGGTGGGTGGAGAAAGCCTGCAGAATACATCCTTTCACTTGCATTCATCCTCTGCTGTGTTTCATAAGAGTACATTTGACATTTAAGCTTTTCTATGTTAGCAAATTCAACTCCTGCTGTCAGGACTGTTTGCTTTGGGCAGGATACAACTGGCAGTATTTATTTTCCTTTCTACCAAACAAAATAATATGTATTTTTCCAGAAGAAGAAAAGCAATGTTGTTATTCATTTATGACTGCAGATTGCCTTCCCCACAAAGCATGGACTTTGCACTTGGGCTCTGCATCTCAGGAAAAGCTTTCAATAGCAACACATGTAACTAAACCAACCCAAAATCATTTGTATTGCCATGGTACAGTGTGATAAACAGGGGAGTTTCTCTGTAACTAAGGATTTGAACTGTGTTTCTTTTACTGTGTCCTATGTCAGTACCCTTCTGGTCAGGAAATAGTGTGTGACAAATATATTTACGGAAGAATTACATCTATTCATAGCCTCATTTGTTGCAGATGACCAGAACCATAATGTATTTTACTTTGGGAAAACAAAAATCTTATATAACACCTTTTTTTTTTTTTTTCTTCAAGCATGTTTAGATGCATTCATGACAAATGAAAAGATGGCACAAAAAACTGCATCCAGTTTTTCAAGACCAGATCTCAAAAACCAAGCAGCTGGGAAAATTTTATTCAGGTCCAGAAAATTTGAAAAAAGAAGATGAGGGGTGCCCTTTCACATGAAAATAGCTCAAAAGTAAACCTAGACAAAAAAGATGGAAAAAAAAACCCCAAGAGATATGGAAACTCCCTGATTCAGAGGAGCTCTGCTGCTGATGGACTGATTGAGCAGTGGACTGGAGGCACTGAAATGGGAAGCAATGTTGGAGTAAGGACCTGTGGCCAGGGAAAGGGAAAGATGGATGAGGTGAGGAAACAGAACAGGAGAAACTTCCTCTGATTAAAGAGATGAGGACAAGGAGCCTGAGATGAAGACAGGAGATGCTGCTGATAGAAGGGATAAATACACATCTACTTTGAGAAATTGCCTCCTAAGAGAAAGCCCAGACCGTGCTCACCATCTTTGCCCATGCCATGAGAGATACTCCAGAGCTTTTCCTTACCTCTCCAAAGCAGCTGCTGGGCACAAGGCATGGAGGTTCGTGTTGTACAGAAGTGCAAGGGCGCCTGCCCGCTCATGGAAAAGCAGTTCAGCTTAGCTCCATGGTTGCAAAGGATCTTGAGACACTCAACATTTGCCATTTCACAGGCTATGTGGATGGCAGCTTTTCCATTGGGCCGGCAGTTGATTGTAGCTTTGTGATTGAGGAGGACCAAAAGACTCTCCAGGTGTCCATACATGACAGCTATATGAAGCCCAGTTGCCCAGGATATTTTTAATTTGTAGCTGGGAAGCCAGTACCCTGTACAAAGTGAGAATGTGTTACCAGCCTTGGCAAAGACTTTTCTTAGAACTATCCACCTACTGAGAATAATTGAAGGGGAAGAGAGGGCTGGAGTTTAAATGTAATTTACTGTAATTTCAGCAGCACAGTACACACAAAGTTCTCTCAAGCATAACTCCATTTCCATTAAGCACTGTTACTATGTGTGCTGAATAGCCTGCCTTTAGGAGAGATAATTCCCATGTTGACGTACTCTGAATGAAGCTATTAGACTTTTTTGTGACTGGTATAGGTTAAACAAAACAATAAAAAAATGCTTAGAGGGTTTGAAATGCCAACAGCTAAAAAACATGGGGGAAGTGGGATCTCCAACCTGCCAATAGCTGAACAAAGGTGATATCGGAATAAGATGACAGCATTTACTTAGTTCAGTGACTCAACAGACAGCTCATCCTACTGTTTCTGTGTGGGAGATGGCAGGATCTTGCATGTCAGTGGCTGGATTCAGACCTCCAGGGATGCATTACACATGGATGACCCCTGGCAATATACCCCACCTACTGCCCTGAGGAGCACAGAGTGAGGAAATTGGAAGCTGATGTAAATTAGGCTGAGGAGCCAAATAGAAGCAGTGACACTTTAGCACAAAATTTGGCTGCAAAATGTTTGTATTTTTCTCTGAAAATGTCACAGTGATTTTTTCCTTTTTTATTTACAAACAGGTGTAAGGTCAAATAACACATAAATACTTGTTCCCAAATTAGGACTATATGCTTAATGACTGCACAGAAGTGATTGCTATATTACTATTACTATTTACTTTTTTAAGAAAAATAAAGCATCACAATAATGTGCAGAAGGGCAAGAGAAGTCTAAATTATTATTATTATTTTTTTATATACAATACCTGTATCTTAGCTAGAATGTGACTATAAAATTTTCTGGGTTTGATTTATCTATTTCTCCTTGGACAACTCTCTGGCTGAAATCTGTTATCATATAAAAAACATAGAAAAAAATATTAGAGACGTACCATGAGGTCAAATTAATTCAAGTCTGCCATTTTAGTCTCTGGTTTTATGCAGTTTCTCAACACTAATGCAGTTTCTCAACATTAATGTTATATATATACAGTTTTTACAGTATTCACGAGATACAAGCAGGGAGGAAACAAACTGCTGGTGGCAAGAAGAAATTGATTAAAATTTTTCTTCCCTCCTAGATAAATTACAAGTTGGGGGCAAGGAACTGCAGACCACGTCATCTACTCTAGGACCAAATTTTTGGGACTGCCAAAGCCAGTGCTCAAGGAACCCACACTGCAAAAGGCAAGAGCAGCAGCCCTGAGGCCCCGGAGAGCCCGAGCAGGGTGACAGCCTCCTCTGAGGACACTCAGCCTGCTGACTGTGCAGGTTACACTGGCATCCTCCTCATCATATCCCCTCAAACCAGGCACAGAGAAAGTGGGCTATATGCCAAAGTCTCTGCATATAGCAGAGCAAGCTTCTTGAATCCCCTCCCTATCCAGCTGCACGTGCAGTGTTCCCCCTTGTTGCCAGTGAACTGGGATACACTTCAGGCTTATCCCACATAGGGCTTGGTCTTCCATTTATGGCCAGATACAAGCCATAAATTATACATTAACAGCAGGAAAATTATATTTAAAAGCCAAGTTATCACTTTTTATAGCCAAAATTTTCCTGCCTGAGTACACAGTGTATTTCTGTTGCCTGTGCTGCTTGCAGGTGAGTTGTGCTCAGACATCCCCAGGGAGCATCTCCCATGTACTTTGCCCAAACCTGCTGAGACCTCTGAGCTCAGAGGGACAGGGACAGACACTGAGCAGGAAGCAGATGTGGGCTCCATGGGAGACCTCATTCAGCTTACCTGTTTCTTTGGCTAGTAACATAAGGAAGCCATGGTGCAAGCAAGACCAGCATCTTTGAAAGCTCTCAGCCTCTTTGGAAGAGAGGAAGAAAAGACACTCTGTCACCCATGACATCTCTTTTCCACTTCATCACTAAGGGCTATGGCAAAGATCAGAGTGTCAGAATGGTGGGGTGGTGAATTTTTCTCCCCTCTTCATCCTTGAGGAAATCCCCCTTTCATATCACAGTTATCTATCATTCAGAACAAAAGTAAAATTTACATAAGAGTTGATAGAAGTGCTTCCTGCCTTTCAGACATAGTGAATGCAATACTGTGATTTAGGCCATAAAGGTGCATTTCCTCTCTCTCTACTTTTTGGAAAACAAAGAGAATTCTTCAAAAGAGACTAGTTACTGATTGCAGTCAAATGATCTGTGATTAAAAATCCATTCATTAATCCTGTAGTCTCAAACCACAACCAGATTGCATTTTAGTCTTCTGAGGACGGAAGACCTATTTTAAGATAAATTCAGCACAGTGTGGCTTAGTTCATGCACTGTCCCTAAGGGAAGTACATCATGACTGTACTATCCTCACCCTTAAGAAATCAAAAGAGCAAGAACCAATCATTAAATAAGGACTAAACACAGAAAAATAGAAGAGGTGAGATAGTCCCTTCTTTTTGCCACAGAAGAGAAAGTGCATTTGCTGTGCTGCTGCTGCTGCTACTAGAGGTGTTTATCTCCACATATGATTAACTTCTGGCAGAGACTGACCATTACTGCTTTCTAAATACACAAGAAGAGTCTGTTAGCAAGTAGGTCATGAAGTATGTTGATTTTAGCACAGAGCAAACTTGGTTTATTGCTTTAAGTTGTAAGGTTTTGGAAGCTCTTTCAGTGTCTGGCTGAGAAATGGTTTGGGTTTTCTACACTCCAAAACAGATGTTGTGTTGATCGTCCTGGTTATTTTTTTTGTTTTGATAAACTACCACATCCTCACTTTCTGTCACTTGGAAAAATAAACCTTCTCCCATCCAGCAGCATCCAAGGTCCACAGGATTTCCTTAGTTCCCCTCAGCTAGGGAGAATCCACTTTACTTCAACTGAAAATGGAAGACAGGGGATATTTTATGTTTCTAAATAGTCTGTGCATGTGAATGGGTTCATGCAAGAAATGTATACGCCCTATTTATACACCTGCAGGTGTCTATTCTGGTCTTTGCAACCGAGTTCTCAGAGGAAATGGCAAAGGACTCCTCTTTCTGGAGTCTCCTGCAGCTGCAGCACGGAGGCTCGGGCTGGGCTGTGGCCTGCCCTTCACCAAGCCCACACAGCTGATAAGCTCCCCTGCTACATGGCCCTGACCATGTGAGCCTGCTGAGACGGTCCTGCATGTGGATCAGCTCATGCTGCAACTTCAGAGGAGATAAAAGGCCACAGTTCCTTGAAAATCACTCAAAACCCTCTACTTCCTGTCTGGTGAATGCTGCCACATTTACCTTGTTTGTAGGATGCCAGAATCAGGTTTTCATCTTCCACTTCAAACACTGTGTCCACGTCTATTTTCTTTTGGCTCAAGAGCTCTTCCAGTGTTTCAAAGTCATTGGACTTCAGGGCTTCAAGAAAAGCTTTTTTCACCAACTTTGCAGCTGCAGCTCGAGTAATTTTCCCCTCTGTGTTCTCTCCCTCTTTGTATGTCTCCTCCAAATCCATTTCCAAACGTATCTGTTTGTGCTGTGAAGAGGGGCACACTGAGGTGCATAGCACAGTTGCATGCTGAAGTTTCTGAAGACCAGAAGGTAATTTTATCACTCAGTCATGCTGATCTGCTTGTTCTATTTATATGAGGAGCATTTCGGGCATCGAAATGCCACTCTTAGATGTCACCACACTCTTTTGATGAAAGCGAGGACAGACACACTAGCAATTAAAACAAAATAAGAGTTACCTCCATTGGCTTCTTACACATTAAGCTTTGTTAACCACCTGATTACCTTCTGGTGTTGTCCATACACTTATATTAAAATAAGTAGTCCTGGGTGTTGTTTCTCAGCTGGAGAAGCACCCACACTTCCTTTCAGACTTGCCATGGCTGATTTATTGGCCACAAGGGGATGAGATGCTCTGCCCACAGATGCCTTTTAACTAGTGCAATTCAGGAAAAAAAAAATCTTAAAAATCTCCAGGGCACTCTTCATGTGGGAGGAAACCCACTCTTCTCTAGGAGAGCATTCTGCTTACTGGTGCTGAGCTCTGGGGCAGCAAGCAGTGCTCCTTGGAAGCAGAAATGCTGGGACAAGGGGGCTGCAGGGCTGTACAGCCACTTTATGGGGTGGGAGATCTCATACACTGCAGGGGGTTTGTGTGTGAATTAACTCAGCCTATGGACCCAAGCACAGGAGGCTGCTTGGGTCCATAGGCTCTTCTCCTTCCCCTGCTCACCCTTCATCTAAATTCAGAACTTCTCTCACAAGCCCATCACCCACTCAACACTGCACTCTCCCTACTTTTTCCTGTGGTCTTTGCCAGCCCCATCCCTGTACTGACAGCAGTTAGAGGATGAGAACCCACATGTAGCTAGCATGAGCTGCTGCCATGCATCACTTAGAAGTGGCTCACACCTGCACCCACTTGGGCTGCTGGATGAGATCATAGCTAGAAGGACACTATTTACCCTTGATCTAAATTGCCCAGCAAAGCAGACACTACCACAACTGCCATTATAAAGAAATCTTCATATTTCTCCTTCCTGTGAGTTTGGCTGCCAAGTGAGCTGATGGAGAAATGTGAGCCAGGTGACAGTGGAAGTCAGAGCAGCCTCTCCGCTTGCAGGGTTTCCAGAGGCCAGATTCCTCAGGCAGCCCCATCAGCACCCACAGGACCCCTGTCCAAAGGACTGCTCACCAGCTCTCTCCTGCAGCCTGTGCTCAGCAAAGGTGGTACCAGACAGCAGCTCATATTTGTGTGTTCCTTCTGCCTATGTACTTTTGAATGAAAAATACTTTAGAAAAACTAATTCCCCAAGGTCATGCACATTGTAATAGTCACAAGGGGAAGGAAAATGGCTTGCCCTGGTGCTACAGGTCCCAGGCAATTTGTGTCCTTTAAGGTTTAAGACCAGAGTTGGCATTAGGCTCTTCATGCCTTTACATTCCCTCACACAGTACCACCTCCTGCCTACTTTGTTACTTTCAGTAGTGGGTGACTTCAGGCTTTAAAAAAGTGTTGTTCCCTCCCTCGTATGAGGAGAGGAACAGGATGTGAACTCCAGATCTTACAGGCTTCTTGTTACCTGCAACTTTATTTTTAAACCACTATATGCCTGGAAAGTTGGGGATGCACAAAGCACTGATATGTGGCTGCAATCAATTGTCCACCTCAGCTACACTTCTGATTTGGAATTGATTAGCTTTTTATCTCTCCTCTTTCATAAATGGTATTATATGTCACAAGGACGTTCAATCTGGCTGAAAGATGTGTGCTGGGACATCTCTATGCCTCTGTGCTGCTCAAAGGTTGACATGTACAAGCATGTTGCTCTAGCAGATTACTGCACATCTGCTGATCCATCGTGCTTGCTCTTGGTTGACAAGCAAGACGAAGTAATTTGTGCTGGCTTGGCCCACAGTGAAAGACAAAGCTGATTAAAATTACCTTACATTTGTCATGGTCCAAGAGCATGTGAGGATGGAACTGCTCCTCAGACCAGGTTACAACTTGCTCACCTTCATAAATTTGTGTGTCCCTGCTCTTACTCTCACAGAAATTTTTCTTATTAAGTTTAAAAGAGAGAAAGGAAACAATTACAGATATGTATACTGCCTATATAGATGCCTACTGTGGCCTTAGTGTTTTCCTGTAAGCAGTGTTTGGATCTAATATTGAAAAAAATCTACTCCTATGAGTGGTTTCAGTGCAATTACACACAAGAATAAGGAAATGTTTCTATGTTTTGAATTAACAAAAAATCCCCAAAAGTTAGATAGTCTTTTTAAAGAATTGACATAAGTATTTTATTTGCCTGAAGTATAGTCAAAACATATATAATGTTTTGAATATATATGAATACATAAATAGTGTAAGATATGGGGGGAACAAAAGGGTCAAGTTTTTACTATATATCTGTATTTTTGTTGTCTCTACTATTTCCTGCAGACCTCTCCCTCACCATACCACAAGGTGGCAGTTTGATTTTGAAAGTCGACACGGATGTCATCCAATCCCCAGGTCTGCCAAATATTCTGAACATTGTACTGAAAATGTTCAGAAATAAACTGAAATAAAATGCTCATGCTTTGGTTAATATAAATGGCAGTTGCAGTATTTACAACATTTTTGAGTTAGACTCGACGCCACTGTCATGGGTGCTGTGCATTCACATACTGAATCCAGTAAAAAAACATGGTTTCCGCATTTAGGATCAATGGTCTAAATTACAGAGCTAATGAGAAGGCACGTTTTTTCCAGGGAGACAGTTCCTGCCCCCAAGCCTTCCTTCTGCTCCATGCAGTGCCAAACAGCACAGGATTAACTACAGGCACACAAATACCTGTACCTCAGGGGACAGGCTGGATCTGCCCCTCCAAAGTGGCTACAGCAGGTCATAAGAAGCAGATGTGAACGTTACACTGCAAACAAGAGAAGAGCAGATAACATCTCGAGGTGCACTCTGCATCCTGCTTCAGGTGATAGGACCACTGTCCCTGGCTTTAGTTGGGTTGCTGGGGACCCTCTCTCCATCAGCATCATCACAGGCTTATTCTAAAGGCCCTGAAGTCAAGGGAGGTATTTCCACTGCTTTCAGTGGTCATGTCCTTTATTAGGCTGGGCAGCAAGCAGCTGAGCTGAGCAGGGGACAGCAGGCTGCAGGTGAGTGCTTGAGCACCACTGGGGTGGTGTTATGAGGAGGATGATGGGTGGCACAGGGGAATGAATGAAAATCAGGGCTGGGACTGCTCATAGGAAGACAAAGACAGGCTTAAGCAGAGAGTGAGTAAAGGCATACTGGCAGACTGTGCAGAGCGTGGTTCCTGGGAGCCAGCGCCCCTTCCTTGACACTTGCTGACATGTAGCAGTAATCCATTGGCAGCCACGTAACTCACAGCAGTGCTGGGAGCAGCTTGAATGGAATTTGGAGGTGAAAACCAACATCCTGAACTCTATGCTGGGGCAGGCAGCAAGCCAGCAGAAGGAGAAATGCTCCCAAAGAAAGGTGGTGATGCAAGCAGAGCCGTGGGGCTGCTCCAAGTCGCGATGGTGAACATCCTGGCAGTCCCAGCCAGCATGGTCTGGAGCAACCCTGTTCCCCTGGCAGTACTGTGGGGTACAGAGAGCAGCAGCAGATCCAGGGGGTGTCACAAAGGTTCTCCCCTCCCCAGCTCCAGAGGGTCCTGCCTTGCAGCAGAGTCCCAGCACACCTGGCCAGGAAGGCTGGCCAGCTAATGAGGGTTGCTCCAACAGCAGCAGCACAGCTCCCTGGGAAGCACTCTGCTCTGCTCTGAAGCCTTACATACTGAGGAGGGAAAAGTACTGAATATCAGATCTGTGGGCCTGAAGCAAAAAACAGATATTTGAGTTAATCCCACACTTTGATCTCTTCTGAGCAGCTCATGCTTGCAGAAATACTGTTGCAGTAGTGGTCACAGCCCTTCACTTTGCCCTGGCCCCTACAGCATCTGCAGCATCTGACCAAGTCTGCCCACGCTGCTCCGTGGGCAATGTTACCTTGTATATCCCTTGTGCTGCCAAGTGTATCGCTTGTTTCTTGTCAGCTCTCCATTCCCAAACTGGATTAAGCACAGCTCTCATTCATTTAGCACATCTTTTTGGCTAATATTAATATTGATTTTTTTTCACTGCTGCATATCTTTCTGCCAGCCTTACCCATCATTATATTTTATCTGATTTTCTTTTCCCAGGATGCTGACTCTGAGTATGACGATTACATAAATCATCTCCATGCTCCTTGCTTTATTTCTTATTATGAAAAAAACTCTTTAGCTCTGCCAGGTGCAAACTGTCTTCTCCAGGTGCTCAGCTGTAAGTCATCTTTTGAGAAAAATCATCTCTTTAAATTCATCCCTGTGACTGGTTAACCTGAAACCTGGGTATTATTGGTTTTGAATCCTCCACTTGTTCTTTGTTATATTATTTCACTCTTGTTCTCATTTGTAAGGGATGGAAACAGTCTCAGATACTGAAAGGTATTTAGACATAAACTCCCCAAGTCAGTGAAGTACAGTTCCTAGGAACTGGGAACCTGTGCTCCTAGGGGAGTTGGGCCTTGTAGCTTTGTTTCCAGTAAAGCAAGAGTAATTTAGAAATATGGAGCAAGTGGCATGCTTAAGCCTTAAGGTACACAAATGTTGCAAAATCAAAAGCTGATGGTAACAATCCAGAATTTTGTTCTCATGGAGGCTGTTGTCTTTGTGGTGAAAGCTTAGCCCATCCTTCCATGGATTTTATTTTGGCTTTTATGCCTGCTCTTTCCATCTTCAGTCCCAGGGATCCATTTTCCTTTATTCCTGCACATTGTTACAGTTCCTGCTATCAGTGTATTTATTAGCATATTCAGAAGCTCAGGGTTGGATTAACTATTGATATTGGAGTGTTAGCTGATAATTTAAGGTATTTTATATTAAAGAATAGTCCTTCAAAAATTGCTACTAAGATAATTATTAGTTTATCATCCTAGAAAAATTATGTACAAAATGCACTTGCTCTACAAAACCATTGAAAAAAATACCATAAATACCAAGCCAGAATGCATGAAAGTTCTCTTTGATTCAAAGGGCATGAGTGTTGTAA